CCTCCAACTGTTTCAGAGTAGCTGCTTTCCTGTTGTTTGTCCGTCCAGGATAAAAGCTTGTCCCCAGTTCTGCCGTAATATAAATGTCTGAGTATACCCTGGAAAGCAATTTTGTAACAAGCTCTACAGACGCATTTCTCTGAGCGTGTCAGTCAGTCAGTAGCTGGGTCATCCATCTTCTTTCCAGTGCTGGAGCCTGGGTAGAATGGCATTGGAAGGGATTTCCCTTTCTCTTGGTCTCAGCAAAGCTGAGGAAGGCGGCAGTGACTGTGAGGAAAGAATATGTTTTAGTGGTGCCAGGAGCCATTGTCGAGTTGACCAGCGGTGTGTGAATGAAGCTCGGTAACCTTGGGGCCCATCTTTCATGGGGGCCCATGAAGGAAGGGTATCCTTCCTTCATGTTGCAGGAGACAGTGGCTTCTTTTATGTCATATGCTGGAACCAGTGAATGATCTCCACATTGGTTCCCTGTGCTCTGTATTTTCCACATGCAAGAAGACAACAGAAACAATTAGAAGAAATCTTGAAGTTGCATGTACCTACCTGTCTGAATCTGTGCCTATGTATGTCATCTTCTGTCCTGCAGGAGGGTGACCTGCCAGGTCCCTTAGAAAAATATCATGCTAGCAAGACTTTCTGCGCATTCCCATCTCACTAATGGTTACGAAACACAGGTTGAGCTTCATCTCATTTCTGTCCTTCTGTCTGTCTGTCTTATGATCTCATTTGGTTGTATAATGTAAAATACAGCCCGTGAGATAATCACCTCCTTCCTGGGTCCATGCCTGCTTAGTTACTTGTGTTTGGATGGCTCGTAGCACCGAGTGTTTACCACGTGTGAGACTGAGTCCCAGCTGGCCTACCCTGTCACAGGTAATTGCAACTGTCTTCCTTGCTCGGCTATACACCATGAAGCCATGTTTGCCTCCTTCCTTAATCTGACATCACGCAGCCTGTCAGTTGACCCTTTAGTCCTCAACAATCTCTCCAGAATTGGAGTGCTCCTCCACAATTCCACTGCAAGTGCCCAATCTTTTTTTTTCCATTTTACTTGACCTCCCCTAAATGGGGCCATAAATTCATTTCACTTGAGAACAAAGTGCAAGGTAGCAAGGTAGCAAAGAGAAGTACTAGAGTCGGTGACACCCTTAAACTTCCTGCATACAAAGATGCTTAGTAAGTCGTAAAACAAAGGCGCTGTGTGCTGTATTCATCATGAGGATGTATCTCCATATGCTTTCATGCTTCACATGGGATCAAAGTATAGCATCCCTAGACCCTAGAGAAGAGAGTGTGATTTGGCCTGGCTGTGGGTTTAGAAGTGACAGTGACCAGTTTGCATTCATGTGCGCATTCCGTCCTTCTCTTAGTCTACATTTCAGTTGTGGAAACTGAGCGCCATGCACTAGGTAATTCATGAGGAGTCTTTGCTCACAGTTCTGAGGTTGGGAAAGCCTTACATATATAATGCTGTCATCTGTAGAGGTCTGGTGAGGGCCTTCCTTCTGGTTCATAGTGTATCACATGGCCCCTTGCCAACTAGTGTCTCTTTCTTATATAGTCACCAATGCCATCAAGCCCCTACCCCTGAGAAGATCTCATCTAATCCTAGTTATGTCCCAAAGGCTCTACTTTCATACACCATTAACACATGGCTTTGAGGATTACATTCTAGTGCAGGAGGTAGGGTGACTTTCCTTGGCAGTCTTATTTTCACCCCAACAGTGGAGTCAGACGTGGGTGGGAGGGCTCATACCAACTGTGAGTGACCAACCATACTTCTTAGTAGCCACTTCAACAGAGGAGTAGCAGAGAGTGGCCAATATCACATATCTTGAAAAACTTTGAGTGTTGTTGGTCCTATAGCCACAGCAATGTGTCAAAATAGCTTCTTCCTAGAGAGAAAATTAGGTGTACCTGAAAAGGGATATTTTAATCACTGATACCTTCTTTGTTACTGTAGCTCTATGTATAATAACTGAGAAGAGACCAGAGTGTGGCCAGAATATTAGGTTATTGTACCTGATTCTCTGAGAAGGCTAACCAACAGTCTCCAGTTATTAGATGTCTTTATCAAATGATTTGGTGATCATCTCTGCCCCCTTATTGCCTGTGAAACAGGTAAATAGCAGGGCACATCCTAGAAAGAAAGAAGAGATAAAATGTATGCAAAGTGGCTAGCATGTGCTGTTTTTAAAAGTGGATGGCCTTGCTGGCATCTGTTCATCTGTAAAATATTTACTGAGGAGTTCACCTTCTACCAGGAAATGAAGTAAAATAGAAGTGGTTTGAGGACATGGACTCCTGAAAAGTTTCGAAATTGTGTTAATCTTCAGTGGGCTATAGACGGCAGTGCACATGCTTTCTGTTAGGTAGATAGTAATTCTGTCCTGCTGTCTAAAATCTTTATTATGTGTGTTCACTTGACATACATCGACTTTTGTTTATAACTTGTACCAAAGTTTTCTAATTTAATTATATACACATGTTGTGTCCACTAGTTCTGTGAAACAAAGTCTGATTCCTTTAATAATCACAGGATAGTTAGAATAGCTTGAATGTTTGGATGCTTACAAAATCTTGAAACCATGTGCGTGTGTTGGTAGGACACGTGAGCGAGGTAAGCATCACACTTGGGTTCAGACGGTGGAGTTCTGTGAAGGCGCTGTTTTTGATACAGCATGGAGTCTTAGCTAGGCAATAGAAAGTCTCAGCTAGGCAACAGAAATTCAGAAAGCTTGCTTAGAAGGTAGCTATTTAATATAATCACGCTCTGCAGTCAGTCCCTTGGAAGCTGAACCCTGGTCTTCCAGTGCAAAGGTAACTTGGAGTGTTGGGATGTGGAGGGGTTGGAGTTCCCTGCACCCCACTGAGCAGTAGTGATTTGGCCATTAAGCCTCCTCACAGGCACTTCTGTACAGGGAGAGCGCTTCCTGGCACAGTTCCTGCTCCTAGGGTTTCTTTTTCATGTGCATCCCTTACTGGGGGGGGGGGGGGGGACTTTTCGCCGGAAGTTTTGTGGTAAGGCTTCTTCAGTGAGGGAATCTCAAGAGGCTGGAAGCTCCTAAGACCTCTCTCAGGGATAAAGGTTTAACAAGTGCAGGGGCACAGGAGGGTGGCACTTCTCCTCCCCAACTTGCCACCCTCCACTAACCAGTACGGCAGGTGTAGGTGTGGCCCAGAGTGTAAGGCTTGGTTGTTGTGTGCATAAGATTTTCTAAAGGGGATTGGCTATTTGAGGGTATTGATCAGTTTGCCCTTGGCTGAAATCTGTGTAAGTTTAGCATTCAAATGCTGCATTTGCTAACCAGAAAGACTTCTGCTGTTACATTTAAAGGTATACTCCAGCCACAGTGTAAGCGTGCTCTTCTCTGGAGACACTGTTTTGATTCTGAGAATATTTACAAGTGTCTTTGGGTTTTTGTGTGTTGTCTCTGTTTAGGATTTCCTACATTGTTTGCTATTTTACTTTATTATCACAGCTCTAATCTCAGCAATGAGATTATGATAAACACTGACGTGCCTGCGGACTGGAGCTGTTCCCAAGATAATGAAGATTTAACCCTGTTTGTCCGATGAAGTGAGCCTTGAAACTAGACTGTGTACGAGTTGTTCCCGTAATTCGTACTAGAGCATTAGGCCTGATATGAAGCTTAAGGATGTCAGGGCCACAAAGGCTCCTAGAGAGGAGCATGAGAGAAAAGTCAGGGAGTGAAGGGGTCAGCGGAGTAGAAGAGTGAAGCAAGGGGCATTGTGAAAGAGTCCCCAGCCTTTAGATCTGGACATCTGAGGCCTGAGGGAACTGGGGGGCAGTTGCCTAATCAGTGCCTTTGACAGCCAGGGAGGGCCTAGCTTTGGGCCTTCAGCAGCACGATTCTTCTGCTAAAACTGACCGCTTAGAGGTTTTTGTTTCTTGAGACAGGGTCTTACTCCATTGCCTGGGCTAGCTCCAAATTCTCTCCATTTTTGTGCCCCACCCTCCCAAATCCTGGGAGTACAGGCATGCACCACCACAGCTCCCTTTAAAACAGGCATTTTATGTTTGGGAATGCATCTGAGAAATGGATTCTGCTGCTAAATTGAAGATACAAATTGAAAGACCATTGTGCAGAGTACTGCTTAGCCTGTGAGGTAACGGTGGAAACCTGTCACAGGCAGAAACTGCTGAAGTCATTTCTGAGGATACGTGGCAAGCACAGCAGACAACGTTTTGCCTCCCAAGTGAGGTGATGACCAAGACAAGGAGTTAGCAGTGAGTTCTGGAGTTCTTGATTGATAAAACTCGGGACCAAGCCCAGTGAATGCTACATTGGAAGATTTAGAGGCTTTAGTGCAGTGTAGGATCAGACTGTGCGAAGGACAGCACTGTTTCAAAGGCCAAAAGGTCTGGCAAGGCTTTACCTTCCCTTTATATAATCCTATCTTTTTATTTATTACTCATTCATTCATTCATTCTTCATTCAGGCGTACTAAGTTAAAGGCAAAATGGAGACTTGCAGTAGAAACTGGGAAGTAAAAATAGTAACATTTTCATTGCTTATTACTCAGCAGCTTGTTTCTTTATTTGATATTCCAATTGTTTAGGAGACTCCATCTAGTTTGTGTACATTTTAACATGTGGGATAATATGAAATCTTTTTGTTCAAAAGCTTATTGAAACAACTTTCTAAAAAGTTTCATGGTTAGTGTTGAGGAAGAAATGTTATTTTTTAAAATGTAATTTCCAAATTGACTAATGCCTTTTTCTTTTACCAGGATCCTCATAATTTGGACTGAATTTGTTTGGTACTTTGTAATCTATTTTCATTAGCTAAGCTGTTGTGAGGAAAAGGCCCCTTGGGAAGAACAAAATTAGCCTAGTAATTTTGCTCATTCATCTGTGTGTGTAACTCAGCAGCTTTCATTTCTGACGTTGCAGTGGAACTAAATCAAAATCAAGTAATTTTTACATCTTCTGAGAGAGCCTGCCACTCTGAATTCTTGTGTCTCTGTTCTGCTAGGTGAGGAACTTTAAACTGGAACAGGAGCAAGAAAAAAACAAGATTTTGTCAGAAGCGCTGGAGGCCTTAGCCACTGAACATCATGAACTAGAGCGGTCGCTGGTGGAAGGGTCCCTGCCTGTCAGTGTCCTCAGCGAGGAGGAGTTCTACGATGCGCTGTCAGGTAACACCATGGCAGCGTGGTGGGGGCCGCTGGCGCTGCAGTCCCAGGCTACACTGCTTTAGCAGTCAGCGCCCTGCCTACCGCACAGGGGTACAGGGGTGTGTGTGTATGCATGTGAATGTGTGTGTGCCTGCCTGCACAGGTGCACATTTGAGTGCAGGCCCGTGTGTGCGTGTGCGTGCGTGCGTGTGTGTGTGTGCGTTTAGAAGACAGCCTTGGAAACTAGTGTGTGTGTGTGTGTGTGT